TAAAAGCCATGTCCGTGTGTGTGTGTGTGTGTGTGTGTGTGTGTGTGTGTGTGTGTGTGTGTGTGTGTGTGTGTGTGTGTGTGTGTGTGTGTGTGTGTGTGTGTGTGTGTCCATTTTAAACACACAAGCGTTTGCATGCATGTCACATCTTATCTTTAAAACAGTGGGGAAAATGCTTTTGATCATGCGTTCCCACTTTCTGTCTCTCTGCTGGTTTCTGTATTTCTTTCTTTTATACAGTCCATGCTGTAAAATCATCATTAGTATAAATAACCAGCCTGCTGTCAGAGGCGGTGTTACAGTATAATCAGGAATACAATCATCTGCGTCTGCTTTAAAAATAAATCCTCTGCACAAGCTCATCGTGCCAGAAATAAATAAAAAGCTGACATTATTTCGTCTTTTAGACTGTAATTAAATCTGCTCTCGAGCTCACACTAGAGAGAGTGTGTGTGTGTGTGTGTGTGTGTGTGTGTGCCCTCTGATAAGCAGGTCTGGTACACTGACTGTCTGATTGAGGTCCTCCAGGGAAGGCTTCTGAAGTGGAGGGGGGTAGTTTGCATTCTTGGCCATTTCATGAAAAAAGGGTGCAACCATGGGAGTAAGCCAAGAGGAGGGCTCAATTATGCATGGTTAAACAAAGCCCAAGGCTACCAGCGAGCAACGTCTCAGCAAACTCTGCCTCGCTCCGGAGCTCCAGAGGACCCTCGTCCAGAAAAAACCCCCCAAAAAACAAAACAGCCACAGAAGAACGCAGCTCCTGATAAATCACTGGGTTGTGTTATGACAAGAGCAGCCACTTTGAAACGAGACTTCTCAGAGGCACTGCTTGAAGGAAAACATTCACATGAGGTCAAATGATACATCACCGAGTTTACGTTTCCAATAAATAATCTGGAGAGGCCGCTGAAGCGATCAACAGACTCATCCTGGACGTGATTTACCCAATAAATGTGACAATGTTCCTCCCAGGAGCCGACTGTGGTTTCTGTCCAACAGCAATAAAGTCACACTTTGCTGTTTTGCGATTGCCAATAAAAACCTGGACAATAATTCAACTGTTTACCTGAGCAATACTGACTTCGATTGTATTACACTCAATAATCTAGTTTCAACATTGATTTACATCAGTATTGTTACACTACATATTGTAACGTACATATTTTGGTTTTCAGATGTTGATATAACTCAGTGGTTGAATGTGACGAAGTACATTTACTCTACTTTAATGTTGAGGTACTTTTACTTTGCTTGGGAATTTATTTTTCATACCACTTTATACTTCCATTCTACTACGATCCATAGAGAAATAAAGTACTTCTCACCTCACAACATTACTAAACTAGATTAGCAAACAGTTAAATGAACACTGAATGATTATAGAACTAATCAATTGGTTCATCGGGAGAAAATCAATTGGCATCGTTAAGGGTCTTTGAGATTCCTAGACTTGAAAATAAAAATTGCATTGCGTACTTTTAACGTAATACTTTAAGTAAATGTAGCCAATTTATACTTAAGATACATTTTAATGGTTGTTTACTTAAGTTAAAATGTATTTACTGTAACTCAATGTATTTGTTGTCTTCAGAGGTAGTAATGAGATTTTCTTACTAATACGCTTGTTTGAAAGATGCGTTATCCTTCACTTTAAACTTAAATAGTATACTCTCAATACAATTCGGAGTAGCTAATACCTCTTATATAAACCTAAATAATAAGGCTTTATCACATTAGTTAGTTTGAAAGCTGCATTTCTGCTTTATTTCCACAAAAAAGCTTTTTCTGAGAGCAGCTAACGGCTCTTAAACAAACCCTCCAACATAATCATGAATATTAAAAGTTAACCACATCAGAGGCCCCTTTCCCAACGCCCCACACTGCAGCAACAGGACCCTCAGCATCTGGCCCCTCTTTCTTCAGACACACAATAAATCGGAAAGTATGCGTCTTTGGTTACATGTAAATTATAGGCAGTTCTTCCAGAGCCGGAGGGGGGATCAGTATCCCCGTTCAGTTCACGTATGAATGGGAGAAACCTGGCTAAAAAGCTCTCTCCCGACATCTTCCTCTTGTTTCCCCGGGAAACAGGAGAGGAGGGTCGGAGTCAGGTGACAGGGGCGACACACATGCAGACACACACACACACATTCTATGTTGTGAGCTCGAGCGCAGATTTAATTACAGTCTAAAAGACCAAATCATGTCAGCTTTTTATTTCATGATGAGCTTGTGCAGAGGATTTGTTTTCAAGCAGATGTTTGTATTCCTGATTATACTGTAACACCGCCTCTGACAGCAGGCTGGTGATACTAATGATGATTTTACAGCATGGACTGTATGAAAGAAAGAAATACAGAAACCAGCAGAGAGACAGAAAGTGGGAACGCTGCGTTTTAAAGATGTGAGAAGCTTCCAGACGCTTGTGTTTTAAAATGCAGCACACTGATGGATTTTAAATCACACAGTCTCTCACCACCTGAAGAGCAATAAAAAGACACTTGGTTTGGCGTTAGACCAACCGATTAGCTTCTAATCACCGCTCTGATTTTCTTCAGCATTTCAATAGTATGAGCTGCTCACTGATGGATGTTTCCCCGCTTTAATAAACACGCTTTGAAGGAGACAATAACATTAATGGCATCTTTTTCCCCCAGGCCAGAACCAGAGAAAAAGGGCACAAAGTGGCGCGGATGAGACGGGCATGAGGTTTCACTGGAGGTCCACTTACAGGAAAAACAACTCTTAAAGAGGCCTTATAACGCTTTTTAGGTTTTCCCTTTCCCTCTATTGTGTTCTATGAGTGTTAGTGCATGTAAATGGTCTGCAGAGGCTAAAAATCCCTGTTTTTCCTCCAGAGGGAGTTTCTCTCCCACACCCCCCCCCCCTGCCCTTCCTGAAACTCCTCCATTTGACTCCTTTGTTTACTTCCCTAACATAATGACATCACTATGTAACACTCCCGCTTCTATTGGCTAGCGCTCCAACACATTGTACGTGATAGGAGGCGTGTGGTGCAGTGGGTTGGTGTTGGGATCAGGGGGTCACAGGTTCAAACCCCACTGCATGTCGTTGTGTCCCTGAGACACTTCACCCCAAATGGCTCCTGTGGGGATTGCCCACAGTATTGAGTATATAAGTCGATTTGGATAAAAGGGTCTAACAAGTGACATGTAATGTAATGATAGTCTAAGGGGCGGGACATCTCTAAGCGGTTGACCAATCACAACAGAGCCGGCCAGCTAACGAATCAGAGCAGACTGGGCTCTGGTTTCAGACAGAGGGTGAAAATACTTCAAACTGTTGTGTTGAGCGAAGAAAAAATGTTGTTTTCAAAGGCTGAACCCCAACGAACACGGATAGAAGCTAAATGTTTCCTTATGAGGAAAGCTCCTGATTAAGACTAAGCTCACACACCCGATACATCGAAGTGAACCAACATAGATTTCCCCTGATAGAGAGTAGTACTCACCACAGGAGCAGCAGGTGAAGCAGTTAGTGTGATACAGGTTCCCCATCGCCTGGCAGGCCTGACTGGCTCCATACACTCCTTTCCCACATTTCACACAGATGCCTGTCAGAGGAACACACTCCGTTAGTCACTGCTGTTAATCCTGAGAGAAACAGTCAAATAAACGCATCCGTGTGGAAAGAAAAAAAACACTTTGTTATAAGGAGATTTTCAAAAATCATATCACAACCTCTCCCACAACACATCACACCCTCTTTTGCCTACTTAATAATAAAATAATTTAAAAAGGATTATTTCTTGCTTTGTTTTTGTTTATTTTTGGTATTTATGTAACGTTATCTTTATATTTAACTTGTAAAAAAGTACAAAAATGTGCATTTGACTCTGAAAAAACCCAATAGAATTGTTTTCTCTTCCAAAAGATAGCTTTGAGCACTGTTAGAATAACACAGATTTCTGAATGAAGATCGTATCTGCTGTGTGTGGCACCATAAGCATACAATCATTTCTGGACATGATGCCAGCTTAGTTGGAGCATTGCTTTGAAACTGATAAAAAAGTGACTCTGCCAAACCATGTGTGCATTCCTGTAATTATGCAACAGTCAATAAAAGGAAGTAGAAATAATTAACCAGCTTTAAATGTCATCACTCCTGTAGTTCGTCCTCCGTTGCCTTTGCAGTAAAACTTATTTAAATGATTTTATATTCCAGTTTCATAAGTCTAGCCTAAACTTCTGTCATTTCCAAGGATTTCATCATGCCGTTTTGAAGGCTAACTTCTACAGGAGAGCTGATGAAAATGTCAAAATGCTCCGAAAGGACATGCAGTGGGTGAGAGAGGAGGGAGAGGAAGGACAGACCAGAAACAAAGTCCACAAAACCGTTGTTCTTCTCCTCGTTCGCAGGGAATGGATTGAGCATGCTGAGGGTGATTGAATGTGCTGCTGAACAATCCAATCAACACAAGAGCGAGAAACTTGATTAAGCTTTTCGGGGTATTTCGATTATTGCGGAGACATTTTTATTGAACAATGGCATTTTCACAGCATGCTCAAATTGTATAACTTGACTCTCTTATTTTCGGGCACCTAGTTAGGATGCCACCTGGGCGCCTCCCTAGAGAGGTGTTCCAGGCACGTCCAGCTGGGAAGAGACCAAGGGGTAAACCTAGGACCAGGTGGAGGGATTATATCTCTTCGCTGGCCTGGGAGCACCTTGGGATCCCCCAGTCAGAGCTGGTTGATGTGGCCAGGGAAAAGAAAGTTTGGGGCTCTCTGCTGGAACTGCTACCCCCGCGACCCGACCACGGATAAGCAGGAGAAGACGGATGGATAATAATGATTATGGGCTTTTTTCTGAAATGTATTCCTAAAGCTGAGTCGATATTATTTTATGAGCATCTTGTGTGGGAGCTGTTTTTTATGATGATGCACATTTTCCCTCCAACATATCCGCCTCCGTTATTTCGATTCACTCAAATATAACTTTTTTTACATTTTCCCTGACATTTTGACCTGCTTTTCCTTTGTGTGTTTCTTTCAAAAGGAGAAGCTGCGGTGAATGGTTAGATTGAATATTGATTTTCAGTAAAGGCGAACTTTCATATGGTGCACTTTGTAGATGCTCTTGTACAGTTTGTGTAGGACGATAATAATGTATCAATAGTCTACTTCTGGTACCCGGAAAATAAGATCTATATGAGATGATGGACTCTTGAATCCCATCACTCTGTATACACCAAGCTTATTTGAAATCCCTGGCACTGTGGCTTTTTATACATCTGTAATGTTGATTTGGAAAAGTTTGGATTCTTTATGTTTAGCTGTATTAAGCTGTTATATAAAACACTTATGTTGCATATGATAATAGCCATGGAGTTGTAGGATGCTCTATAGCTCTAATCAATAGGCCACTTTGCGGAAGTTACTCTCCTATAATGAGCACAGGGAACATTTGTAATAGGAAATGTGCATAAACCTGCTACAGCTTCCTCATTAGCATGGCCTTGCCTGCCCGTGAGGTTATTATGTGATGCAAGTCATGGCTTGCTCTCCTTGAGGTCAACATTAGCCAGTCTTCCAGAATAATGAAAAGGAAAAGCAGTGAGGAAATAAAAGCTTTCCTAAACTGCTTTTCTTTCAGTCAGTGACAGTTTATAATTCAATATTGAAAATCTAATCAAACGGCTCAAACAAAATACTACAAATGCATGTCTAAGTGGCGTCAAAGCAGTCCAGAGAGGGGAACATGCCACATTGTTTCATGCCATGGTTTCTTGTGAGCGTCCTCTCACTAATGATGTCGGACAGGGACAGCATGAAAGATAAAGGTTAATCACTCTGTGTCCGAGTGCTCAGAGACGTGAATCCTTTCTGCAGTGTCGTCCTTTGTATTCCAAAAGAGTACCTGGGGCTCCTTGTTTCCCTCTGTAATTGCTTTGTAGAAGGGCAATGTTTCAGGACAAAGTATAGATAAAGGATATTTTGTGTTTCTACTGTCCTCAGCATAAAATACTTTTGCTCTCAGGATTTTCAATTCATTTCTCAGACTAATTCAGTAATGTCCCTCCAATTGTTGATTTCAATGCAGTCCTTTTCAATAATTCAGCTATAAAATGTTCAAATAGTGACAGTTTCACACATGTCAGCCCAGGTTCAGAAGCACTTATAAAGAGCCTTTGAGGTTTGGCTGTACTTCATTTTTTTAAGCCAGAGGTGAAAAAAGCTTCTCGATATACCCTGGCCTGTACCTCCATGTGTCAGTGTAGAAAGTGTAACAACACTCTTGTGCAACAAGCCAATAACATGCATACTGTCCATGCTGTGAAGTTGAAATGAACCACCCAAGGCCGTGCCGTTAGGAACTTTGTTTGTAACCTGGTGGGCCACAGATTGGTTATGTTTCTTTTCTGTTATAAATACTTTTTTTCATAATTTATGCAGAGCTTTACTTCATCTTCCTAACTAAGTATTTGATGTACAGAAGTCCTCTGGCACACACTTGTAATTTGGGGATAGATGAATCAAATCGACTCACTGTGACTTGCCGCGACACCTTGTCTTTTAACAAAGAGAGTTAGGTAAACAAAGCTGAAGTGAACAGTACACATTGTGTTTGTGAGATTTGAGGCTCTCTGGGCGCTTTCTCGCTTACGGATTGGTTTTCTGTCAGCCTGTTTTTGTCTTGATTTAGTTTTTTTGTCCTTGAAGGAATAAACCAATCCTAAACTGAACAAACTGAAGAAAGAAATAGACATTCACCCAAAACATAAGCTGCTCTATTGTTTGTCCCTATTCTGGTGTTCAAACTTTGTTGTCTTCTTTTGTTTTGCAGTCACAGAGGTATGAATAAAACATAGTGAAAGCATCTATTTACAACTGAGGGAGCTTTAAAGCCATCAGATTTCTTAAGGTGCAAACCGTACAGAATCTTAGTTTGAAAGACTAACCATTATCAACTGTACAAACATGTGGCTTGGTGTAATTGCACCTTTTAGAGCAGTATTGACTGAGGCAACTATATGTATATAGTCAGTGTATAACCTACAGTACATGGTGGTTGACACGCGTCCAGTTTGAAGAAATAGACAGGAGTTACAGGACAAGAGCAAAGTGGTGAGCAAAGTGATGTACTTGTTTTCATGGGGGCAGCAGCAAAAGGTTTTTTAGCCACTGCATTAACACTCACACTGTCTGGTTTTTAGAGAGGTGTGCCTAAAAAAAGTGTACATTATTTTTAGATGATTTTCACCACTTTGCTCTGCGTTCAGACAGTCCTTTCCAACAGGGGAATTAACAGCCATTATATGCTCTTTTTATCGCTATCAGACTCAATTGAATTTTCCCTTTCAGAACATTGAAGATATTTTTGTGTGACTTTGTATGAATCCACATTAACCCTTTAAAACACCAGAGAAAGAAACACTGTCCCTTTAGGCTCCAGCCATAACATTTTGTTATCTCCCTTTGTCACATTGCAGCACACAGAGGACCCTATATATCTTTAGTTCATATTTGCAATGCTACATATGATCTAGTTACATCATAGCGTTGCACAAACTGTTTTCATATTCTGTAAGATGATTTTTCTTTACGTTTTTCCGCAGCACATTCTCTACTGCAATCTGTCTGAAAACGAAATTGCAATGAAACTGCCAAGACATAATGAGAGACAGTAACTGTGATGAATATACTTCTTTAACTACTCTGCAGTTCTATTACACTCATCATTGACTGTCAGCACTAATTATTATCTGATTATTTATTGGTATTACTGTAGCAGACAATAGTGGAACAAGTTACAGCTTATCCTCTTGGTTCACGAATGGACAATTGTATTGGAAATTAGTCCTTCAAAATCCTGCATTCATACAATCTGATGGGAAGTAGAAAGGGGTCGTATCAGTCTGTGTGAGATCTCTTTGGACAGCCAGTTCCACAATGAACAGTGGCTTTGGGCAGACCTCTTAATTGTAAGGACATTGGCCTTTCCTTTTAAAAGCTGCCATGAAACAATGTACTGCTTCAGAGACTTCCCTGCTAGAGTGTTCACAGTGCTTCAAACAGGGAGGATACACCTTGATCCAGCTAATATATATAAGATTATGTGCATATCACAGTTAAACTAATTTTCCACTGAATAGTACGTTTACGTGAAACATTTAGAAACTATGTACTTTTATACACAGGTCCGACAAGAGCGGTCTCAGTCCTTTTGTGTTGGAGAGATAAAAGGAGTTGGGTTTAGAAGCAATTTTTTCCCCGACGATGCCTAGACGCTAGTGTCTGATGGGTCTAAACTTGTGAAGGATACTGCGTGTCTCCACCGCGATGCCGATAACCCCCGGTGAGGTTGGGTTAGTCTTTCCATCCTGTCGTGACCTGTAACGGGGCAAGCTTTCGGCGACCTCTGCGACATTCATGTATACGGTCCGGACATACTACCAAGACAAGAGTGTCTTAGTCGGTTACTTTTCTGTCACAATTTAACTCGCTTTACTCCTGACCGATTTTACGTACTAGACAAACCATAAAACTCTTTTTATTTTTCATATTATACGGGTAATATATCCAAATACCAGGGATGTGATATATAATTAAGTTTATATCGTACTTATCCAGGTGAAATTTTCCCACAGACCAATTTACGGTAATACCGGTTTATACTGAGACTACATTGTGTTTACACTGTTGGAAATAGGGGTAAGGTGTTATACGGATGGGGGATCAAAAACCAATTTATTTTATGAAGTTAACTTTTTCCAACTTTAACCTATTTCTGTTAAGAAAAATGAAACACCTACACAGTTGTTCCAAGGGTCTAGGACATAGTTGTTAAATGAGATACAAACAAAGAAAGAAACGGTGACACTAAACAACGATCGACGTCTTTTTTGTTTGAAAACATAAAAGTTCGTTGAGAACACGCTTGAAGGTTGAAGTTACGGATTTAGGGGTCATGAGATGGAGCGGATATCGTTTGGGACCGATGGACGAGTTTAGTTTCTGTTCCCGCGAGTTGAGACTGTCTTCGGGNTATTTCCATGTCAGGATGAGCTTGTACAGGCAAGAGTTGAAGTACTTTTGGTACAATCCAATCTGTGCAAGGTACAGTGCATATATACTCACTGCTTCCTGCACTGTACCTTGCACAGATTGGATTGTACCAAAAGTACTTCAACTCTTGCCTGTACAAGCTCATCCTGACATGGAAATAAAAAAAATAGGCTCCTTTTTTAGAGCAAACCACCTCATTTGTATGTCCTCCTCCACTGTAAGTTGGCCAGAGCTCTGGTTTCTCTGCCAGAAGCAGAACAGAGACTGATGCATCCCATCAACAAGAGCAAGAGCAAAGCCTCTCTGTAGACTGCTTCACTCCCAGGGACAAAGTGACACCGTATGCAATGAAATATATTGATAGTGATACAATAAAACTACTTTTGGATGAGGGGGAGGAGCATAGGAGGAGCTAGGCCAGGAGGGGCCAGATACCGTTAGCATAACAAATACTACGTTAGCAGCTAATGCTAGTGCTAGTTAGCTTGCTCGATTAGCACGTTGCATTAACTACAGAATCAGATATGTGATTGCTTTTATGTTTTTTGATCCTAACCCCACTGTAGCCTAATCTACTTTAAATCAGGCAGTGCAAAGTCAAACTTGAAGATGTGCTGTAGCCTGTGTTCAGTTACACAGATTAAACAAGGCTGTCCCGCTTTATTGCTCTGTGTTTTAAATCAAAGGTTTTTCCAACCAGTTATAAAAACTGCTAAATCACTTAATGCCAAATAATTAAACCATTGCATGAAAAACACAGGAAACTGCCTTGACAAAGAGGAACAGTTATCACATGTGGAAACGCACCAACAGTCATTGTGACTGACAGGAAGTTGACAAATACTTCTACATGAAATGTGACCAGATAGATGTCACTGGTGTTTTGAGCTGCTGTGGAAATCTACATGTATAAAAGTTAATACACATTTGATTGATCACTGGATTAAAGGTTATTTTAAGACGGTGTGCAGACTGTTGGTCTCTCCGACCCTGATCTGATTATTGTTGTTGCACGTTTGAGTGTGGCACCTTAAATATTCATATTCGTGCTGTCACTTTATGTCCACATTTTTGGGATACTTTACTCTCTGTAAGGACACAAGTAATTTTAACATTGTTATTCATTTATAACATTTTACACACCACACAAAAAAGTCATTATTAGTAAGTCATTTTTTAATGCAAAAATGGCAAAAAAAGTAGTTTTTAGGCTTAAAATATTGAGATTTCCTGCTTTTCTCTTCCCTATCTCATTATAAACTGGATATGTTTGGGTTTTGAACTGAAAGAAAAAGCCATATAAAGACATAATATTCTACTTTGCCGGATGGATATTGTTCACCATTTCTGTTTAGATCCAAACAATAAATCAGAAAATTAAAATATTTGTGAGTTGCTGCTTTAAATCTGGTTGCAACTTAGAGGCTGCTGCTGCTATCACATTTGTTTTTACATTTGCAAAAGACAAGGAAGTACAAAATCAGAATCAGAATACCTTTATTAGTCCCTCAGAGGGGACATTTACATTGTTACAGCCAAAGACAGCTTAATGTTACCATGCATGAAAAAGTATTAAAGATAAAAAAAGAAATTATAATCAAAAAAGTTACACATTTGACCAAAAACACATCCTGTAACAGTTCTGAGGATTTAGCAGCCAGGTATATATTACACAGTTTTTTATATATATGTGTGTGTGTGTGTGTGTGTGTGTGTGTGTGTGTGTGTGTGTGTGTGTGTGTGTGTGTGTGTGTGTGTGTGTGTGTGTGTACTAGGGGCCGTGGTGGTTGTATAGTCTGACCGCTGAATGCAAACCAGACTTTCATTTTTATGTCTTTCCTTGAGATTTGATCAACGCATTGTTTTTTGGGGGCTCTCTGCAGCGCTGTCTGGTGACAAAGGGCCAGAGGAGAGAGAGGCAGCCCTCCCCCTCCTCCCCTGGGTGAGGGGAGCGGGCAGCGGGTGTTGGAGAGGTGTGGGGGGTTGAATGGGACCAGCTAGTGACCTCAGGCAGAAGGAATGTCCCCGTTTGCTCAGTCTCTCCCCTAGCAGCACTGCACACAGTCATCAGGCCTTTGTGTTCACCTTCCAGACCCCGAACCAGAGCAGAGGCCACAGACGAGCACACAGCAACACCTCCCCAAACCTCTCAACACCTCCACAAACCTCCACAAACCCTCCACAAACCTCCCAAACCTCCCCAAACCCTCCACAAACCTCCACAAACCACCCCAAACCTCCAGTCAAAACCACCCCAAACCTCCGTGTGCCTTGGCAGTCTCAGCTCACCAAACCTCCCCAAAAACTCCCAAAAACTCAGCAAAAACTCCCCAAACCTCACAAAAACCTCACAAAACCTCCACAAAGAATAATCTTCAAAGCATGCAACTGTTTTTGCAGAAGCAAGTCAGGTTTAGAAAGAATGCAGTGTTTTGGTAAAGCCTTCCTGTTGTTAAACCTGGTCCCTATTTCCTGCAATTAATCGAGAATTTGCCCAGTTTCTTTTTTTCAATGTGCGATAAAAATAAGGATTTCTTCATGATTTCAAAGTCGCACTGGGGTTGGTAATTGATCACTTTGCTTGGTGAAGTACTGATGTGCCACAGGGTCTTTTCTTTCTACAGAAGTCACCTTACCTCGGCCCCTTAAAGTGGAATAAGACAGAAGATCTGCAAGCCGTATTAAAAGCTCCCACTTGTGTTCCTAGAAAGGATCTGTTGGATTTTGAAGCTGCATTGTAAAATGACTTGGAGCTTTTAATAGATTTGTTTTGATCCAGCACCTGCAATTGTTTTTTGTTCGTGCCTATCCTGCAACGAGTGTATCCTGAATATGATGCGGGACCCTGCAAAGTTTTGAAGTCAGTGTCTCTCTCTTAAGAGTTCTTCCTGCTGCATCCTGCTTTTCTCTTTGCTCCACGCTACCAAAATGCTAATTGCTCCTTAGTCTCAAAGTCTTAAAAGTCTCACCTATTGTGTGCCAGCATTCCTCGGCCGCTGCAGCCATTTATGTGGGTGTTAATGTATTGGCGTTGTGACACGGTGTTTGTTCGTGAAATACAGCGATTGCATACATTTCCTAGTGTGGGAGGGGGGGGGCATGTCTTTTTGGGACATCCATAAAATCAATGGTGGCTTCGGGGATGACAATTAAATCTGACTAATCCAGCAGATTTATGAGATCCCTGCGCTTGGTCTGCCAGGCTCGGTGAAGTCATCGCGCTGCCAGAGAGACACCGCTGCTGCTAAATGAATTTGAATGGGCGAGCTGCGAGGGGTGCATGGCGGGGGGGCTGCAGCAGAATTTCCTTTTTAGATTGGATTCAGACTTGGATTCTGATGAATGAAGGCTCACCCGGAGGAATTCAGCCCTCATGCTCAGAGCTGGAAGCTACTCCCGCTGTGGTGTGTTGCTGTGAGGCGTAGCACTGCAACTACTGAGTGTTTTCATGACATTTCAGACCACCAAAGTGAAGTAGAAGTTGCCAAAAAAATCATGGTGGAACGTTTAGAAATGCCAATAGTAGTTAATTCACACAATATCTGTTCTTTTTGTATTATTACTTCACATATTTTATTCCATTCGATCACATTGTAAATACTGGCATATTTTATTTGACTATATTTTCTTATAATAGTTCTGTATAGCACTGCAACTACTGATTGATTCACGACATTTCAGACCACCAAAGTGAAGCAGAAGTTGCCCAAAAAAAGCATTTATTTGACATGATGTGGAACGATGAGAAAGGCCAATAGTAGTTAATTCACACAATACCTGTTTTTTTTGGCTTATTACTGCACATATTTTATTCCATTCGATCACATTGTAAATGCTGGCATATACTACAGATTGTTTCACGACATGTCAGACCACCATAGTGAAGTAGAAGTTGCCAAAAAAAGCATTTATTTGACATGATGTGGAACGATCAAACGTTTGGCGTTGTGTCTTCATGGTGATCGAATTGAAATGGAGTTATCGGTGTCTATCTGGTGTTAATGTGTGCGTCAGAGTGAGGGACATCCTCCCTGCAGCCTGCTATTGTTGCTCTGCTTGTGCACGGTGCACAATGGTGGGGAAGGGGAGAGGAGAGATACTTTGGGGGGGGAGGTTTGGAAGGCAGCCTGCTGTATTGATTGTGTATGGGCTGTGAATGGATTCCTGTTGGGATCAATGGTGATTAAGCGACAGGATGTTGCATTGGACAGTGAAGCCATCTGCTCCACACCGACCTGCTGCCGTGGTGAAGTAGAGGGGATTAGAGAGAGGTATACAGTATGTATTTTCACTGAGAGTCAGAAGTGGAGTTTTCTGTGTGCTTTGTGTGACAAGTATCCCTCTGAGTTTGCCTTTCATATCCTTCAAAGCCTCCACTCAGGAAGTGTTACTCTTAATCAATCTGCACGATGTTCGGTGTCACAGCAACTAGGCTTTGGATCAAAATTCTAATCTGAATAAAATCACTCAAAAATGTGAGTTTCATTCAAAGTATATTCATAGATTCTTTTGAGATTTAAGAATGGATTTCTGAATGTTTTAGTTATATTTTATAACGTCCTCAGTCTGATAAATTACCAGAAATCTTAAAGAAATTGATTAATCGGATTAAATTAAGTCTTTTTTAACTTAACCTTCTTTAGTGTATCTGTTCCAATAAAACAGGTGCTACACAAGTTGTTTTTGGGGTTAAACTCCAACAAAAATAAAGATTTCTTATGATAGAAACATTTAGTCACAAACTTCCTGATAGTGGAAAAACTGCGTCTACATTTCATCATAAATTCCCTTGAAGGTTTCATTCAAAAATACTTTAAAGTTCTAAATGCAACTGTTCTTACGTGTTATGAAACCTGTTGTGTTTCGCCTGAAACACAGCATGTCTCAAACCTCCTTGAATATGTAGATTTGACTTTGTTGTCTTTCCCTTTCAGGTCGGAGGCTTCGAGGGAAAGCTTTCTACAACGTCAACGGGAAGGTGTACTGTGAGGAAGATTTCCTGGTAAGTGTTCCTGGTTATTGATTTGCTGTTCGTGTTGGGGGGGCCAGGGGGTTTAAGGATCAGGATTTCAGGCTGTGCCCCTCCAGAGGAAACGGACATAATGGCAGCTATAATTAGGACTTTAGCACCACCCCTCCAATTCACACTAATTTCCCCAAAATGTCCCCAAGGAGCTCAATTACCCCTCAAGCTGCCCGGCTCTTACAGGACGACAGCTGGAGGTCCGTCTGCTGCTGTTTACAGTGCTCTCATGGTGCCTTCAGGAGCTGTGGGAAATAAAGATTATCGTACGATGTATGGACACGACCTCAAACATTTTTACGTATTTTAATTACTTATCTTTCACAGCTCAGGTGTGGGAAGAACTTTCTTCTGAATAAGAGAGAGGAGTGTTGTTAAATACTGTGTATCTAAGTTATATTATATTTTTGAAACAATATTTATTAAAGGGCCGTTTATACAAACAAATCTACAAAAAGAATTCAAGGCAAATGTGTCTTTAAAAGAGTGTGCTAGCATTATTATGCTATCATATTATTGATAGATTAGTGGCATCAAAGTGTCTTAAAACCATAATTATATCTATTTCTGGGATTGATTTATGAACTCAATTACTGATGCAAATAACACAGATGATATGTTGGCTACTGCAGCCGTATGTGATGCTGTTATCAGGACATTTGAATATAATGTGACAGAGATTGATGTCCAAACATGGAGGAAGTAGCATAACAAAGCTTCCTTTCACAAATACGAGCTTCATCATCCGAACAACATCACCACGTTGTCGATACTTCCTGTTTCTCAGCAGCTTCCCCTCACATTTGAACCTGTTGGGGAAGTACTCTTCCTGTTGTTGCATCATCAGTGATTATCTGATGCTGGAGCTCAGATGACGGGATGAGACTAATCTTCTTCCTCCGCTGCGATGAAGCTAAGACTCGACTAGTCTGGCCTGTCCTCTGGGGG